GGGGGGGGGGGGTTATTTAACTTAGATGCTGGCCAGAGATTTAGAAAGATCATATCCTAATTTAGAGATTGATTAGGATATCTATGCTTTCAGAATATAATTATTGTCATCAAATATATTCAAGCACTGTTTTTATCCCTCCCCCCAAGGGGAATTGGAAATGATTTTTTGCTTATTCTTTTTCCAACCAACAGGGAGTTCAACTTTCATGATTAAAAAAATTAAGTGAAAACAAAATAAGGTACTTACAATAAAGTATCATGGGAAAAAGACTAAAGCAATAACATTCTTGCTTTATGAGATAGGTTTTTTTTTTTTCTTTTTCTTTTTCTGTCTTTTCAATTGAAATTTATTAGAAGGATACAATTGAAGTGCCTTTTTGCTTGATTTTTTATTGGTCTAATTGATTTTTTTTATTTGTATATATATGTGTAAGTTAGGTATCTAGGTCAAATATAAATGTATGGACCCTTACACCCATTACTTGACCTAATATGTGGTAGGCATATTGATGTTGGGCTTTGTGCTTCTCTAGAAAGCTGTGAGCCTGGTCGAATGGAAAGTTGAACCTACGCAAGCACAAAAGAACAAGCTTGTTAAGTGGGGCTCTAGAGGTTTCTCTAATATATGCCTTCCGACACTTAAGTCAGATAAGATTCTAACAAGGTAGGTTATGGGCAGAAAAGAAAAAGAAAGGAAAAGGAATTTGAAATTCGAATCTACCTTGGAATCTATGTAAGTCTCACTTCTATAGTATTGAGGTGACATCTAGCTAACAAATAGAAACTTGTTAGATCTATACATAATTACATATATAGGGGTTACACCTAATAGGTTAGGTCCAATAGCCAATGGAAAGGTTCAATATTGGATAAGTAAGACATAGCCCACTTGTTGAGATAAAGGTCCCTCTATAAAGGCTAATACGAGCGTGTCCCACATCTAAGTGTGAACTTGTCCTGACCTATGGCAGACTCCACATGTACCTTATTTCCTTTGGTTCTTAGTTACCAAGTCCCAATCTTAGGTAGGCAAGTTAAGTCTATCAAACATCACCTAGGTTCCATTCTAGATAGCTCAACCATCTAGGTTTTAGGTGCTTTCTTCCAAGATCATAAAAGTTAAGGTCTAACTCAACTCAATCAATTCCTTTTCTAGGATTTTCCTTAGTTGTACCTAAGGTGATATCAATTATCTTTCAATTATGACCTAATTAAGTCTATGTGGATCACTAGGATCATGACATGTGTATGTTGCATATTTGATGATATCATATATGTTTTTCATACCCAATATTTAACCATCTCTTTTTAAATACATGTAAAATACATACCCTTACAAGTTAGATACTCGCAAATATTAGATATATATAAACCCAATGTTAATTTTTTCAATTTTTTGGTGTTATGTAATCCATTGTAGTTATATATAAGATATTTTTATTGACAAAAAATAAAACTTGATTTTAAGTTTGTTAAGTTTTGCTTGATTTGATCTTAAATTTGATAAAAAGCTTATTCGTAACTCAATTATCTTAACAATTAATAGTTCTTTTGATTTGAAGGGAAGGAAGGGAAAGATTATTTTTTTTATTGCTTTACTTTATTTTCCCTATTTTACATTTTAATATATCCAGACAAGAAATATAAAGAAAAGAGATATGTAACGATATTGTCTTCCTTCCAATCTCTTATCATCTCCCTTCAACCAAATAGAGATAAAAAAATGTATATAGAAAAAGTTCACGACTAGTTGAAAAATAATAAAATAAATTATGAATCAAAAAGATGTTCAAGGCACGAAGGAATCCCTATCTAGTGCATCGTCCGACACACAAGGATTGTTCACTATTGCCTTCTCAAGTCACCTTATCTAGTGCATTCTTTAATGTCTTGTTCAAAATGAGTCACATCATCCCCATTTGGTGTACTCTTTATTGCCTCTTTTAATGCAGACTTTAATGCCTTGTTTAATATATTTCTTTTCATGAGTCAACTTGTCACCAGGGGCGGAGCTACTTGAGACCAGGGGGCGGTGGCCCCCCTTGGGATTTGAAAAAAAAAGTAATTAATTTATTAATTATTATTATTAAAATTTTAAATGTAAATTTAATTTATGACAATAAAAATACAAATTTAATTTAGTGTCGATAAAGTTGATCCCCTTATCTCAAATCCTGGCTCTACCATTGAAAGGGCATGCCATTTAATTAAAGAAAAAGGACAGAATCATCGCCACAGGCTGATTTTGCAATGATAAGGGGCCAATGTACTGATATGATATATAAGTTGAGGGGCTTAACCACGGATTTTTCTTTTTATTAATTTCCCTTCTTAATTTGGATCTGCGGTTTTTTTTTTTTTTTACATCATCACATGGTTATATAATAATAAATAATATTTTTCAATTTCTCTCTACTCACCTTGAAATTCAAATATCCTTACAGTTTTTAGATAGAAGATAGAAGAGGTGGAGTATGATTCTATCCTCAAATTTCCTCTTCAACATTTGTTAATTTTTAAATGTAGTTGTTACTTGTTTGTATATGCAGAAGATAGTACTTCATTACTGTCACTTGTTTTATTTGTAGTTGGATCTTTTATTTGTACCGATGACAAATTGTAAAGGAACAGGTGTACTCTTATACTCTATCATAAAAATTTGTGAGTAAAAAGGCAAATGAGCCCCTATAGTCTTCATATGGTGGCAAATCAACTCCTTAACTAAAAATGGTGGCAAATGAACCCTTGAAATGGTGGCAAATCGAAGCCCTTTTAAGATGGAATTGAATTTAACTAAATAAAGCACGTGTTTGGGTGAGACCTAGGATGATGATGTAACCTTCCATGTGCAAGTGTCTTAATGCTACATAATTTTAATGCCAGTAATTTAAAAATTCTTATAAGAAAGTAAAAGAAAAAAAAAACTAAAATTTATATTTTTAAGAAAAAAAATCAAACATCCATTTTGTTGTTGTTTAGGCATCA